GCTAGTGCAATGTAATGCTTTCTAATTTGAACTGACTGTGTTAAGGACTTGGAGGGTGTCATTTTATACCAGGAGCATAACATTCTGTTGTTGTTTTCTTTTCTTTTTTTCTAATTAATTCCTTTGCAGCAATGGGAACAAAACTGATTTTTTAACTGTAGACCAGTTAGTCAGCTTTCTGAATGAAGTAAGCTCTTTATCATTCATTAACTACTCTTGTGTGTTTGGCTTGCCCCTAAACCTGTGTGAAACTGCGCTGCTTTATCCTCGTCACCTCTCCCCGACCCTGGTGGAAGTTGCCCTACAGCCCAGATTGCACATCAGCTGCTCCTTAATTGACCTCCATTAAAGTCTGGGAGAGTTGCACCCTCAGTCAGGCTCTCAGGGCAACTTTCAACTAACTGCCCTGTTCTGCATGCCCGCTCTTATCTTGTTCCCCGTCCTGTAAGCGTTGCCACCCGCCTCCCTCCCCTCGTCTGATTGGTGTTGCAGTAGCAACATGTGGACAGAGGTGTCCATCCTGTTGCTTCCTGCTTGATTCGTCATGTTTCCTGCTGTCTGTCTTCCTGGCTGTTGTTTGTGGACATGTGGTTCATAGCCCAGGCCTGCGCTCTGTGTTGTGTTTGGACCTTTGAGCCACATATAGACCCTCACCCTCGTCTGACTTGCAGTGTTGTCACGACTGTTTTGCTAATTCGGAGCTGCCTGGAATCCCTGCATCCGTTGCCTTTCTTTTTCCTGTCTGTTTGGCTCGCCACGTTTCTGTTAATCTGTGACATGTTTCATTTGTTGCATCCTGGTTAGAATACACAACCACATGAGGGGAAAATCCAAAAAATAAATGTCAAATGTGTGTATTTTGAGTGTGGAGGATTGAGGTTGTTGTGTATCTGAGAAAAATATTTGGCTAATATCGGTGGATGATTGTTTGTTTGCTTGTTCTTCACAGAACCAACGAGACCCTCGGTTAAATGAGATTCTGTTCCCATTCTATGATCCCAAGAGAGCCATGCAGATCATAGAGAAATATGAGAGGGATGATCTGCTGAAGAAGAAAGGTAAGAAATACAGATGTGAAGAGAAGAGGAGGAAAATGGATGATGTGGATTGTAGTCTGCTGCCATCTGCCTGTACATTTTTGAAACTGCATAATGCCACACATAAACTCAAGTTTTTATAGTTGCAGATTATTTATCTATCTATGCATTGTCAGTCCATCACTCTATCAGTACCACTACTTACAGCATATGTTTATTTAATATCACAAAACGTAATAGCTCCTACACTTCGTCCTCAGGTCTCATGTCCAGTGATGGATTCTGTCGTTACCTGATGTCAGATGAAAATGCTCCAGTTTTCTTGGACAGACTGGAGCTGTGCCAGGAAATGGACCAACCCCTGGCTCACTACTTCATCAGCTCCTCCCACAACACTTACCTGACAGGCCGACAGTTTGGAGGAAAGTCGTCGGTGGAGATGTACCGTCAGGTTCTGTTGTCTGGATGCAGGTAGAGAATGCTGATGTGGACACAAATTACACAGATACGCACACAATACAGCAGTATGTTGATGAACCTAAGCCTTTTTTTGGTTAATAATAATATAGTACAATATCCACACATTTTTGTTATTTCTTCTGTCAGGTGTGTGGAGCTGGACTGCTGGGACGGGAAGGGAGAGGACCAAGAGCCGATCATCACACATGGAAAGGCCATGTGCACAGATATCTTATTTAAGGTGCACACACTCATTGTACTGCACCTGCCAAATGATCTACTTCCACATAATGTTTTTCTAAAGTGTGTGTCTTCCCTCTGGTGTTCAGAGCTTGACATTGCATTTTCAAAAAACATTTTTTTTATCGCCCTCTGCATAGGATGTCATCCAAGCCATCAGAGACACTGCATTTGTTACTTCAGAGTACCCAGTTATTTTGTCCTTTGAAAATCACTGCAGGTAAACGCACATGTCATTGTGGTGCGCACTGATTATTTACATTTTTGTGATTGTAAACTTCATCTCTGCATGTGTTTGTCACAGTAAACCCCAGCAGTACAAGATGGCCAAATATTGTGAGGAGATTTTTGGGGACCTGCTTCTCAAACAGCCTCTGGAGAACTATCCGGTCAGTACTTTGATTTTAGGTGATGTACTTTCACCACATGATGACAGTGATAGTTAAACGTATGTGTTTTATTCTCAGATTGAGACTGGCCGTGCACTGCCCTCTCCGATCGAACTCAAGCGTAAAATCCTCATCAAAAACAAACGATTGAAACCTGAAGTAGAGCAAAGTATGTCTTCAACCCATGTACACGTTGGATATTTTGAGTTTTACTCTCTTGTGATGTATTTAGTCGTTGTCTTAAATACAGAACAACTTGAGGCCTTTAAGAAGCACATGGAAGCAGGAGAGACCAACACCCCTGCCATCATTATGGGGGAGGAGAATGAAGACGACACAGAGAATGGTTTGTTAAGCTCAAACCAATACAACAGACCACATTTCTTTATGAAATCTTACCATAAAATGTGTCACTCCTATACCCTGTTGCTGTAGCAAATATAAGTCATTTCTTTCAGAAGTCTGTCATCATATTTACGGGGAGCCCAAACCATATTGTGTTTGTTTTGAGGTAAAAAAAAAAGATAAATTGTTGCTTGTGTAAAAGAACATGTAACAAAGATATTGATTATTTTTCTGGCCCAGATAAAACCCATATACCTTAGAAAAGCAGGTTTTGTTTTATGTATGGATACTGTATGCTACTACAACCAACTTGGGTACTTTGATAATTTGATGAGGACAATGTATTTATTTATTTTAATCCATCAAGGCCAAGTTAAATTAGATTTGCCTCAGGGACTAGGTTTGGGTAGTATGCAGTCCAGAAATGGCCCCTGAGCCAGAGGTTTGATAACCCCGTCGTACAAGAAGGGAGTACAGACAGGATTGCAGTATGAAGGGCATCTTGTGTAACGGAAAAAAAACAACTAAAGAATGACTGAATGAACACATTGAATCCAGGTTTCAATGAAAATTAAAGGTATTCTTTGCCTGGGTTTGTACGTAGGAGAAAAAGATGGCGAAGAAAAGGACCTAAATTCCGAGGCTCTGAGTCTGTCGGAGGCAACGAGTGAGAAGGAAGCAAACGGTGTTTCACAGAGAGGCACGAAGAAGAATGAGGAACGCAGCAACAGTATCAAGAAGGTGGGCTCCACATCTCATTAGTCCCCCTCTGGAAATACCCATTTTCACCACTAGGCACTGCTGCTACTCTAGCTATGGAATACACTGACTGTAGCATAACTAGAGTTGAAGATCAGCCTCACCATCTGTATATATTGTATATATTGTTAACATTAACTAGTTATATACCTATAACGTAAATATATGAATGCGCGTTAATGTTCCCAGGTACCTGGTTATGATGAAGTGACAGAGATGTCTGAAGCCACCGAGGCTACAGATGTCACAGATGTTTCTGAAGCCTCCGACCAAGACAATAACAAGAAGGGTGGAGAAGAGACAGAAGACTCTGAAGAAGCTCTCATAGCTCAGTACACCTACGTAGGAGCCACCACCAACATCCATCCGTACCTCTCAGCCATGGTCAACTACGCACAGCCTGTCAAGTTCCAGAGCTTTGATTTGGCAGAGGGTGAGCCCTGAGGTTTTTTTTTTTTTTTTAAACGTACACTAATTTAGACACGGACCTGATTCATGTGATAATTCAGCCTTTTTAGTTAGTTTTATTAATTGAAGTTAAATATCTCTTACATTAAAGAAAAAACATTAATTTAACATTAACATTTTCACGTTAACAGTGTTACTATTGAAAGTGTTGTTTTAATATGAAAAAATACATTCATACAGATACATGATTATATATATATATGTACTGTATTTATGCATGTTTGTATGTATATGTACATATATGGGTGTATATAGGCATTTATATATGTGTATCTCATCTTCTCTCACACAGGTTTTAATTGCTTGCATAAAATAAAAAATAAAAAATCCCTCTTCAATTTTTTGTTATTTCTTCTTCTGTGTTTTTCCAGAAAGAAACATCCACCACAACATGTCGTCTTTCAATGAGTCTGTTGGTCTGGGCTATCTGAAGACCAATGCCATAGAGTTTGTCAAGTATCCTTTTACTTATTGCTGTTTCCTGCCAAAAGATTTGTGAGCTACAAAGGAACATTTGGGGTCTGAAAAGATAAAAGACCACCCTGGTCTATGTTGTAATGCCAGCCTGTGGATTTGGTTCTAAGATGTAGATTATCTATAATCCTGGGGTTTCTTAAAAGAGCCTCATTGTATTTTTAGTCATCACGTTTTTAAACCTTATATGTTTCCACTCTGCTGCCAACTGGACTGGCATGACCTCCTGCTCCCCTCTTCCGCCACCCACTTACCTCCCCACATAGCCTCACTGCCTGTTCAGTGAACACTCACTGCAGCTTGAACACATATGACAAAATACACACATGCTCTCCATCTTTTTCTCTTTTTTTAATTTTCCTGAGCTTCGGCGCAGCTACAACAAGCGTCAGATGAGCCGCATCTACCCCAAAGGGGGCAGGGTAGATTCCAGTAATTACATGCCTCAGATCTTCTGGAACGCAGGCTGCCAGATGGTCTCACTCAACTTCCAGACCCCAGGTACCACAACACGTAACATGGGAACTCTAACCTGACATACAGTGTTACGCACAACACACATGTACACAGAGAAGCCAGCATCCAGTCACCCTCAGTCGCCGCCTTGATCTACAAAAGCGCGGCGGGCAGTGAAATTTCGACCTCCCACTACACTGATTAATAGACTCTTACATCACGGATGTGCGATCTTAAATAACATCTAACAGTAGGGTCAATGATCAACTGTCCACACTTGGCAACACTCTCTTCATTAAACACAGATGCCAAGAACCTTTCATTTCAGATTACAGACTTAAATCACCTCCAATGATTTTTCACCGATAAATCTAAAAATGTATAGCTTTGATTTGGTAATTCCTCCTACACTACACTAATTTGGCAGATGTTGCTGTTGTAGGCTGTCAATAAAAACAAGAATTCCTTGGAATATTTTTATTTTTTTTAATTTTTTCTTTTCAGACTCAGCTCCTACTGACCATCCTTGGTACTATAGCTATACTATAAACTAGATAAAACTCTAGTTATGTCTCAGCTAAAGGTTCACACACGACTTTGCTGCATCAGGTTTTTGCATGCCCATAGACGGTGCTATTTATGGTTTACCTACACAGTGAGTGATGCCTGTTGTAAAACAGCTGCTGTCCCACCGCCAGCAGCAAGAGGGTTCACAGCATATGGCTTGCTTGGAGGAAAGCGTGTGCGGTAGGGTCGCACAAGAGGTGGAGCATCTGTGATGGAGGGATAAATGGTTAGAGGATAAAAACACTGATGTCAGGGGAATGTTAAATGTGTTCGTCTTTAAACAGAAAATACTCCACAGTCGTCTTTGTAAACAATGTAAATGGTGGCTCTTATTAGCTGCGGTATATATTCCAAATTCATCATTTTATTTGTCTGCTTTTCTCCCAGATCTTGCAATGCAGTTGAACCAGGGGAAGTTTGAATATAACGGCTCCTGCGGGTAAGAACTCCTCTTTACTCTGTTGCCAAACTCGTTTCCTTCCCTCCCTCTCCTGTCCCTCTGTGAAACTCATAAATTAAACCACGTCACATCTCATTAGTGGTTGCCAGAGGTCATCGCAGCGACTGTCTACCCCCAAAAGCCAATGAGTGCTTAGGGAAGCAGAGCTCACTTACCTTGCAGGCTCTCTGCAGTCATCTGTCTCTTCCTCACTGCATTGTTGTATCCGTCCCTTTGCCCTAATGCTGTCCCCGAGGCTGGAGATTTAAGTGCTAATGCCCCTTAATCTCATATGTGGTGAGATCAGGGCTTTCGCAGACACACATCATTACTGATGTCACTCTGATGGGCCTCCTCTTAGTTCCAGTAAATCATCGGAACATTTTTAGTGTCTAAAATGTAGCAATAAAACTGAATTGAACTTTTATTACTTATATCATTTTTACATTGCCGTTTTCCTATTTATTTCTACAGAGTAAGGGTGTCTCTATGTTACTGTCTGTCTGTGTGTGCGCGTGTGTGTTAGATACCTTCTGAAGCCTGACTTTATGCGGCGGTCAGACAGGATGTTTGATCCGTTCTCAGAGACGCCGGTCGATGGTGTTATTGCTGCAACCTGCAGTGTACAGGTCAGGAAAACAAATGGGGGTTTTCCAAATGCTGAAGTAATGCAAAAATAATCACAAAGAAAAAAAAAACCTCACTGCTTTGAAATGACACTTTTTCTTTTTAGGTGATTTCCGGACAGTTTCTGTCAGACAAGAAAATAGGCACATACGTGGAGGTGGACATGTACGGTCTGCCCACAGACACCATCAGGAAAGAGTATCGCACACGTATGGTGATGAACAACGGACTGAACCCTGCCTACAACGAGGAGCCCTTCGTATTCAGAAAGGTAGGAGAGTGGAAAAGAAAGAGAGGAGTTGTTAACAGTCATACACCGTAAATGTGCTGTTGATGTAATTTAAAGGCAGACAACTGAACAGAATTAGAATAGAAAGAAGAAGCTATCAGTGGGTAAACGAAGTGGATGAAAACAAGTTCTATGCAGGAAGCAAAAAGAGAAGTAAGTAATATAAAAAAAAATACAAATGTGAATATTTGTTGTCAGAAGCAAAGGTATCACACACCAAAGGTAAATAATACCATTACAGACAGAGGCAGGAACAGAAAAGGCAGAGACTCGGTGTGTGTGTTTGCGCACGTGCCAGCGTGCAAGTAATAGTGCTGCTCTCAGCAGAATGAGGAGTCTCTCAGCCATGACTGTGACTCCAGCTTCTTAACACACACCATCAATCACAGGCTGCCGCAGTGCTGCTCTCTCTCTCTCACACACACACACACACACACACACACACAGAGCTCTATCACAGAGGGGCATCGCCTGCAAAGGCTTCTGGCGAAAACCCACAGATATACACCACCTTTATGCAAGCATGCAAGCTTATAGAGCATTGTCAGAGGGTGTCAGGGCAAACAATACACATTGCGAGCACCCTCGCTCCGTGCATCAGCAAGGCTGCATTTACGCAAGCACGCTGGCGGCGCTCCCACCCATTCATCCCTGGTGAGTATTCTCCGGCCCTTATCTGTAACCGTCCTCTCCGTTGAGGTATTAATCATTCTCTTCAAGTTCACTTATCTCTTCACACAAGTCTAGTTAAATGCTCCCTTTTTTAAGGGTCTGCACACGCAAGCTCATCTATAGGCCCAAATTACACACAGACACACACACACTATACAAGATATAGTGCACTCCTTGGATGTGCACTGGCTGTGAAAATGGATCTCAGCCTGAGATATGCTGTGTGTTGTTCTGCTATCACCCTCTTCCCCTGTATCACACTGTCACTGTCCCCTGATAGCGTCCCCTGTAGTGTCTTCCACGACCTTCGCCTTTAATGATTCTGTAAAATATAAAAAATTGTCAAACCAGTAGAATATTCCCCGAGATCAAATCCTAACCCCTTTACTTCTGTTTTCCATCCTCTCTGCTTCTACCTTCATCCTTCCTCTCTCAGGTGATCTTACCAGATCTTGCAGTGTTGCGGATCGCGGTGTATGACGACAACAACAAGTTGATTGGCCAGCGGATCCTGCCTCTGGATGGCCTTCAGGCCGGCTACCGCCACATCTCTTTGAGGAACGAGGGAAACAAACCGCTGTCTTTGCCCACCATCTTCTGCCAAATCGTCCTCAAGACCTACGTTCCAGATGGATTTGGAGGTAAAGGGAAAAAAAGGGAAACACATTTAAAAAAACGAATAAACTTTGCCTCAGAAGAACTGTTCAGTTCTGTGATTTTGTACTGCACTGCATTTGTGTCAGTTCAGCCGAGTATAGCTGTTGGAAAGATTACCCCCCTGCGAGCATCTGTAAAGCTGTGCTAATTATTATCATTATGCAACTAGTGATCAACCTTGATCCTCCTATCAAACTGTGGTGAGTTGGTTCCCTTTGTTTTGAAAGGAAGGTTCTTGAATTTGATGATAAAGAATGTTCAGAGACCCTGATTGCAGGTTTGTTTCACACCCACAGACTTTGTTTTACCACTTCATTTTATTCAGCCCTGATAAGACGGTGTGTTCAAGGCCCGTAGGGGAGAGAAGAGCAGTGTGGCACTATCTTCTTTGCTCACTTAAATTTTTCTTTGGGGCAGCTTTGAACATACACAGTAATGGAACGATGTTCCAAATGAAGATGATGGCAGAGAGTGTGGAGCAGCGCTGTCATTAAATAAAGCCAAAGGCTGACACTGAGGAGCTGCAACTGTACCCATTACTGTCAGAGCTGCTGCCAGAATCACTTTACAAACAGATCGTAGTAAGATTCTTACGTTTGAAAGCAATGCTTTTAGTGCATGTTTATTTGTCACCTCTGATTGTGATACTTTGTAATTGAATTCATTATTGATCGTGCAGGCGAGGGATGGAAGTTCTGTCATTTTAAGACCTGAGGATGATAACACTTCCCCTACATAAACTGCCTTTCTTTCAAATTACTTTAAATACACTGTAAAAACATGCTAATGTAATTTGTTACAACTGAAAAAAATCTAAAATTTATAGTAAAAAAAAATCATTTTACATGTTGGATTTTCATTCTTTCAACTAACTGATCACTGTGTGTGTCCCAGCTATCGTGGACGCCCTGTCAGATCCAAAGAAATTCCTGACCATAGCGGAGAAAAGGGCTGACCAGATGAAGGCGCTCGGCATCGACACGGTATAAGCAGCAGCATCTGACTTTGTTGAACCTCTTAGACAAAATAAAGAACCTCATGCTAATGTTGCAACTCAAAAGACTTTCCATTAAAAAGAAAACATAATTTGTTGCATTCGGTTGCAGAACGACATTGCAGACGTCCCCAGTGGAAGTTCTAAGAATGACAAGAAGGGAAAGGGCAAAGGTGACACGGTGAAGGCCAGCGTGACACCACAGAGCAGCTCGGACATGGCCCAGACGTCCAACTCTGCTCAGAACAACACGGCAGAGAACAAGAAGGGTACTTACACAACTTAAAGTACAAAACAACACTGAAATGCTCTGTGTTCATACTGTAAAGACATGCAATGTCTTCCTTTGCCGTCACAGACAACGCACTTGTGCCTAACGTCAGCATTGATGACTTGAAACAGATGAAGGTAGGTGTTTTACCTGGATCTAGATATCTATTTATCTGTCAGTATATTTATTTTTATCTGTATTCATGTATTCATATGTCATTGAAGATATTTATGCAGACATTTTGAAAATGCCTGATGATTGACTGAGATTCTTGAAAATGGATGAAAAACCTCAAACTGAGCTTTCGTGATTTAATTAATATTTACATTTATAACCAAGAAAACGTATGCAACGTATACGTGTTTTTTTTACGTATAAAACTTAATAACAAATTTAATTTGTTTAAATTAGAGCTATCAAAATGAATACATAAAAATTATTTTAGTGTATGTTAACACATGGGCAGAATGACCGGATTAATTAATATATATCATGTATAATTAAGATGACAATCATGATTAATTGTTATTTATCCATAATTTAATTTAATTATTTAATTAGTGTTGTATATATATCTGCAGTATGTAAATGATTAGCAAAAAAAAACAACAACAAGAATTTAACTTTAAATGAGTTCACATTCAACTCATAGACCAGGGTTAGTGTTCGTCCTTTCTCTCAATAATGGACCGGGTGTCTTTCCAAGTTTCATATAAAGTACGCAGACATCTCTCTGACCTGTGCAAAATTACTTTACTAATGCTGTTTGTTCAACCACAGACGTACCTAAAATTGATTAAAAAGCAACAGAAGGAGCTGAGTTCATTGAAGAAGAAGCACTTGAAGGTGAGTGATTGATTAAACCCAGGCCTGCTCTCCTGTTGTCTCATTTATTCCAGACAGTTATTGATGCTCAGATGGTCAGAACCTGGGCCAGGAGGCCGCGGTCACCTTTCATCTCCACTGACCGTAGCCACATCACTGCATCTGCTCCAACACACACAGACACATAAAAGGATGTTTTCTGTTTAAAATTAGACTTGCTAACCACCACAGTTGATGCTGCCTCACACACAATAGCTCCTTGATTTCCACACTTCTCCAACATATTGTTTGAAGCGTGTACAGTAGATCAGCATCCATCTGTCAGCTGATTGAAGATGGCCGCACTCTCATTTTACCTTAATGTCAATTCATATTTTTTAAATAATGTACTGCGGCTGCCCTAGTTTGTAGCACGTTAGCAGAGCAGAAATAAAAACTCCTCATCCGAATAAATATTGATTTCATGAAAGCTGTATGTTGGATTTGACAGGATCAGAATGTAATGCAGAAGGCCCATTGTACTCAGATGGAGAAGATGGTGTCTCTGCATGACAAGGAGAAAACCACACTGGAGAAGCTAGTGGAGAAAGCAATCAAGAAACGAGGGTAAGTGGTAAAAAAGAAAAGTAATGTTAGATATATTTGACAAAATGAAAATGGAATTTGCTGTGTTTGTTTTATAAAACGGTTTTCTATTCAACTACTATCTGCATTTAAAGTGTAAATGTTGATTTAGTGAGTGTTAGGTCGACTCTTAGATCAACAACCTCAACTAAACTATTTTTCCTGCAGGGAAAACAACTGCCAGGAGCTGAAGAAGGAGACGGAAGATAAGATCCAAACACTGGTCACCGATCATAAAGCCAAGGTGACTACAGTATGCACCCCTCCCCTATATCCCACCCCCTTTCCACACACACACACAACAGCTATTGTTAGATTGTCAGAAAAAGAATGCCTGTGTAGCTTTGGTGTGTAATTTTTGCAGGTAAAGGACATCACAGCACAGCACACCAAGGAGTGGTCGGAGCTGAGCAGCGGTCACAGCAGCGAGGAGCAGGAAATGAAGGACAGCCACGTCACGCAGCAGTGCGAACACCTCAAGAAGCTGTTAGCCAGTGTTCAGGAGCAGCAGACAGTGCAGCTCAAACTCATTCACGACCGGTGAGAGGCTCAGATACAGATGCAGTTCCTCACAGCCGGCTACACTGACATGTAAGTTCGTTACCTGCAGCTGAAAGTGTCACAGTAATAAAAGTAGCTGTGGCCTCTTTTAATATTGTTTTAGACAAAGCAAAGAAATGCGGGCCAACCAGGCCAAGATGTCCATGGAGAACAGCAAAGCCATCAGCCAGGACAAGAGCATCAAAAACAAGGCAGAGCGAGAGAGGTGGGCCATACTATACTGTACTGTACCGTACCACACCACAAGTGGGACATAATGTGTTGAAACACGTTAGCTTTTAAATGATATCTGTGTTGTGTTTTTCTATAGGAGAGTCCGTGAGTTAAACAGCAGTAACACCAAGAAGTTCATGGATGAAAGAAAGAGAGTGAGATGTTTTTATTTATTACATTATACTTACCATAGAGTTTTAAAGCTGTGTATGTAGAGAATGTAGATTATATATTTATTTAAATGAATCTAATCCTGTAATCCATTGATGTGCATTTCCTGGTGAAAAAAAAAAAAAAACAATTGCTACTATTGGTTTTTTGTTTTGTTTTTTCTTAAGAGTGAAATGGTCTCTATATCAGGGGTCTCCAATTTTTTGTTCTCCAAGAGCCACTTTTACCATATAAAAATGGCTAAGAGCTAAGTTTATAAATGTTTGTTAGATTCATTAGCCTTCAGCGAGCTACTTGGAAAAGGGCGGAGAGCTACTGGTAGTTCGCAAGGGACACGTTGGAGACCCTTGTTCTATATCATATAGCATATTCTTTCTGATTCTGATTGTATTTTTATTTTCTTTTATTCATGGTGGTTTTGCCTTGGTCTCCTTTGTGTCTGCAGCTGGCTATGAAGCATCAGAAAGAGTTGGAACAGTTACAGAAAAACCAGAGAGAACAGTTGGAGAAACTGGAGAAGTTCAACGAACAGGTAAAGACGGTTCACAGCACTGTTACTGGCGCTTTACTGCAGATTTGAACATCGCTGTGTGAGGTTGCATGTTTTGGTTAAATGTCCCTTGTCACACCATGATTGTCCCAAGTATGCAAGAAAAAGGACGAGATTGTAGAATAAAGTTTGTTTTAGACCTTAGAGTAAACACTGGAAGTACTAGAAAATATAGTTTGTATCAAGGTGTCATTTTTTTCATTGTTGTTTTTTTTTTATTATTATTTTGTCATGATTTACCTGTTACCTATACATGATTACTTGGATTCACTTGTTCATTTTTTAATATAATTTGCTTCCTCTGGCACAGCTTTTGAAATCACACCATGCAAACAAACACCTTCAAGGTAGGCATCTCCATCTCATCTCATCTCTGTCATCTCCACCTCTTGATTCCAGCACCACCTAAAGTTCAACCTTACTTTCATTTTTGCCGATTCTGTTTTTCACCCTTTTTCTTCTAACAAAGACTAATTATTACAGTGACTTGGACTATCAGGTTCTTGGGTTAAATGTATTCCTGCAGGGAAGGAAGAGAACTTTTTTTTTTCAAATATTAACCTAAATAAATAACCTGATATAATTCTTGAGGTGGTTTATTATTATTTGTATTGTGGAACTCCAATTCCCCTCATTTCTAGTCTGCAGCTCTCAGGATGTCAGCAGTGCCAACCAGCAGCTTGCGTCATTCATCACTATGACTCACCAGCTATTACTAAGCACAAACATCCAGCTCACAACCTGCTTCTCTGTGCTTTCACAGCTCGTGTGTAACGTACATGGTATTTCCATCTACAAACGTACAGTGGCAGATGTGAATATTGATGAGGGGAAAAATGATCACTGTGTATTACGGATAAAGTGATGTGGGGTAAACATTAAAACAGACAGAAAGTGAGTCCAGCAGCCACGTATTTAGAATAACTTTCTGTTTCTGTCTGTTTGTTGTTCCTCCAAGGCCAAGGACATGCAGCAGATGGTGAAGCTGGAGGAGGAGATGGACCGCAGGCCTGCCACAGTGGTGTGAGCGACTGAAACCCACACACAAACACACACACTCTCACTCCTACACACGCAAGCAGCTCCAGACAGCTCTGTTCAACCGAGTGACGAAAACCCTGCCTTCACCACTGTCCGTGTAACTTCTCTGTCCAAGTCACGTACTTTAGATTTTCACTCTCTTATTTCGTCCTCTGTCTGTTCGTCTGTTCTGCACACCCTCCCCCCCAGCCCACCTCTCTTATTTTATTACACTGAGTCATTGGTGCTTATCACTGTTTGACAGGATTCAACCACTTATCCAGTAAGGAAATGTTACTTTATGAGATGCAGCAGTGTCGGACGTCTCCCCTCCTCCACTCTGTGTGTAGAACTGAATTTCCTGTTCTGCTCACTGTTCTCTGCAATCTAAAATCTCACACACACTCAAATGAATGTGTTCACTCAAGGGTTAGATTGAAGTGGACATCTGTTCCTTTTTCAATACTTTTTTTTTTTTCGTATCAGTACCCAGTTAGAGAGAGTCTAGAGGAGGGGAGAAGAATATGTATAAGACGTGTCATTTTATAGCACAAATGATTAAACAGAGTGGAATACACTGTCCTGTACTGTACGTGACACTCTGTATGTAACAGGCCATCAAATCAATGTGAAAGATGTAGCAGTGCTAAAGACTCCTAGTTTAGTTTGTTGTAATAAGAATGTATTTTCTAAAGAGAAATTACAATATGGAAGAAAAGGAATCATCTGTCACTCTTTGACAGTGACTTAAATGTATTTGACATGTTTGTTTGTTGTCACTGTTACACCCCTAGTCTTTAAGATACCATGAGGATAAATATCTCTGAATATTTGAATTATATCTACCTTGATTTATAGATATAAAGACTCCTACGGTTTTCTGTTTACAACTGCAAAACTTTCCAAATCGATACTTTGATATTCATCTTTCAAGTTGACATTCATAGTATTAGATAATTCAAGTGTCTGCCAAGTATTACAGCAAAGCCTTTAATGAAGTGTAATACTAACACGGAGGTTAAAGGTATAGTATGCAGCAATTTATTTTTAAATGAACCGGAAAATGAATTAAAATGAAATGTATCGTTTTAATTGACTGGAGGTTGAAGGTGTTATTAATTTCCTATGTTATTATTAAGTCCATTTATTGTTCTATTTTAATCTACACTTATCCTGCTGTCTTTTGCAAGCAGTCTGGACACTTCTATAAACCAACTAGGTTGAAGTAATGAAATTAAACATAATTATGTTAGGTTTTTTGGAAAACATTGTAACCTAAATCTAAACTGCTGCAACTAACCACCTACTCTGTCACGAGGTTCATTTTCTATACCCGATGGACAATCTTCTCGACAGAGGCTAGCTACTTGTTTTTACTCACTAAAATAAAAAAATAAATAAAATGTCTGCATACTATATCTACAGTGTTTTCAGTACAATACCATTCAAGATTTACTTTCATCATCATCAACCAGCCATTCATGTCACTTTATTCCATCAGTTTCCAACTCATCAAAACCACATAAAGGGAAGCTCTCCCTTTATATTTTCCTGATTGCACTTTAGAAACCTTAGCAGGTTCAACTCAATGTGTCCCTGTTTGACTGCGTTCAAGGGCCATTAAAAAAAAAAGCCCCATAACGACAAGTCTACGACGGAGCTTGTTACGTAGCTTCCATTAAATCGCCACACAAGACCAGGTCTTCTCCCCTCATGTCCCTCAGTGTTTCCCTTTAAAATGTATTAAAGAAATACAGAAGGTTAAAGACCAGAAACTGCTGTAATCAGCCCGGACACTGCTGAACATAAACTGCTGCAAAGGGACAGAGATGTCATTCAGTCATAGATAAAGTAAAACCTGTGGGTACTGTAGTAACGTGCACATACAATCATGCCAGGTCGTTGAAGTGCAATGGTGTTACACAAAGACGAACCAAAACACACTATCGTATTGATAACACACTTAAAACACAGAAATAAAAGCACCTTGAGGTATTTTGGCCTTTTGTTTTTTTTTTTTTTTTTTCTGCTGTTGTAATCTGCTGTAATCCATTTAAAGGGTAGACGGGACTTTGTTGTATATACTGGAATGTATTTGATTTTCTTTCATTTACACTTGGGTTCTTTCATTTAAGGGTATGGGGACAGAATTGGAGACTGGGTAATCTATTTTTTCACCACTTGGTTTTGTTTAATTTGTTTGTTTTTTTTTTTCAAATCTGCCCTTTATGCACCGCGCAAACAGCATAAAACTCTCACCACATATCTAGTGCAGAGATTAACGAGTAAAAGTGCTTTTACATTTTATTCCAATGCTTTCGAAATGTGCCACTCAAATGTGTCTGTTAGGATGTTTAAAGTATTTCATGAATGATAAAATGCCAAATTAAGGGGTTATTTATATGAAGATATAAAAAAAGAATATATATATTATATATTAAATTTGTGTAGTTTAACATTATGTTTTTAGAGGCTTTTTTTGCACTAGTTGAATGTCTGTTTTCTGTTGTGTGATTACATGTAACCTAATGGCTCTGTTAGTTTGACTAAAAGCAGGTTATTTTTTGCAGAGCGACATCACAGGTTTTGAGTTTCTTGGATTCTATGTATCTCCTCTCTGTTTTCTATTTAAATCGTAGCGTGTCGACAGACCATTCTGTGTGTGTTTTTGTATTTATATTGTAGTGTTGAACTTATAGCAATGAAAACACTGTTGTTATCCGGCTCCTTTAATACTGTTTTATAGTATGTGTACCAATAAATCCAGGTGTAAAATGGGACAAAACCAAGTGTTTCACATGTGTATCATTTGTCTCATCTGCTGATCTTTCTCCTGTTTAACAAACTTCTCCTTCTTTTGTGACAGATGAAAATCATCTCATCTGATCTTGTTTGAAGAAGCAGAGAGATGGTGACACTTTTCACTCTTTTATTCAAAGATTATTCCTTTGGTCAAATAACATCAACTGCATCTGCTGTTATACTTACAGCTCTGTTAAGTTGTATATATAAAGCTTAAACTAAATTATCAAATGTATTTAGTAAATCAGATACCAACCTGTGAACAAAACAGTAGAGAAATAGTAAAAAGTTTTAAAAAAATGTCTGTAAGCCAGACATATTTCACCTTCAAATGCTCAGTTCCACTGTCTTTATCAACATTTGATAATACTTCAAGATCCATAGAAAACTGCCCAAGTGCCAAGATTGGCCCCACGGCCAGCTTTTGAACACCAGTGCTTTAAAATTAGAATCAGTAAACACTTAATTAATCTTAAGAGAAAATAGAGATGTGAGAGCTGCTCCTGCTAGGTGTTAGGTTTATGAAATACACAGAAAATATAATATGATAAAGATAAGATTACTTTATGTATGTATATAATTAATGTATAATTTACATATTCAAGTCCATTGTAAATGTTTTCAGCTTTTAAAACAAGCTTTATAAAATTTGAAAATTGACCAAATATGACTAACAAACTGCAAAGTGGTTGAATAAGCCTTTAGTCTGTAGTTCATATTTTGTTATTTCATTTGTTTATTTTTTTTTCAAACACCACCCACATGTTCACTGACTTAACAAGAAGCACTGCTGACTAAACAAGTGCAGAGTGGGTTCATAACCCACATCTACTCATGAAGACAGGCGGCTTCAGCCCTTTGTTATTGTAAGTGAAATATTTCCATTTGAAAGAGGAACAAAGCGCAGCAATTATGTTTGCGTTGCGCAGCAACCCGGAGTCCGTTTCCCTTCTATAAAACAGGGCTGATGTGAGTGGTGGACTTGGTGTCTCCGTTTCCAAACCTGCATGTTCCAAACAACGGACTGATGACATTTCTCGCTTGAAATCTTGATAATTCATCTCAGAAACATGTTGAAGACTCCGGGCAAGTCCAAGACCGGCACCAAGATCCTCCTGGACGCTATGTCCAAAGACAAAGTCCACCTGGCGAGGTTTGTTCTGGACGCGCTGGATGGAGAAATCGTTGATTCCAAAACAGAGGGCGCACAGACGCCTCTCATCTCATCTGTGCTGCTTCCTGAAGGCCATGTGCGCTGCAAGTTTGCAGAGCTGTTGCTGGAGAGAGGAGCCAGAGTCAACTGTCAGGACAGCGACGGGCGCACTGCACTCAGTCACGCGTGTGAAAACGGTTACCTGGATGCTGTAAAGATCCTGGTCCGATACAACGCAGACCCGGAGATCGTTGACTCCTGGGGGAACAGCGCCTTGATGTACGCCGCAGTCACGGGTCACTCTGCCGTGGTGGATTTTCTGGTGAGAGCATTCAAGAGGCTGGGTCTCCAGATAGACAGACAGAATAAAGTTGGAAACTCTGCCGTGGGAGTGGCCAAATATCTCGGACACACAGACTGCATCTCTGCGCTCATCTCCAAGAAGAGCCGAGAGTTTGAGGAGGGCGCTGAGAGAAATATAGAGTCACGACTTTATTTGAATGTTAAAGAAAGAGGTGAAAAGGTCAGAGCTGGAGGCAAACTTCAAATGTGTGATCACCCCGATTGCGCGTTGACTCCAAACTGCAGAATAGAGCCAGGGTTTAAGCTGAAGCCAATTAGGACTCCATTAATGGGCTCCATGGAAGAGTCTGAAAGAGAGGACGACAGCTTATCGCCTCAAGGTGAGCTGACTTTATCGGGGTTATTAACCCCCAACCTACCTTCTCCAGCTCCACACCAGCCTTCTAACGCTAAGAAACTCAGTGACAGGCTGATGCAGTCTGATTATCGCCTCCCACCTCTGAAACACAACCCTGAGGCTCCAAAATCATTGTTCTTCTCACCTCAGCCTCACAGAAACCAGCTCAAATCATCCGTCCTGGGAATTCTTCTGACTCCAGTCCTTTCCAAAAAGTCTATTAAGAAACCAGAAACAGAAAAATCTAAATTTTTAGACTTCTGTGGTGGTCTTCGATTTCACGACAGCTATTACCAAAAAAGATGCAGCCTTCCAACCAGTGTCCTCAGCCCCACACCACCAGAGCGCACTTTGATGCCATGTCGCAAGTTCAGGACGGTGATGAGACGTGAAGCGTCTCCCTGTAAAGCCAAACTTCCTCAGTTGACCCAGACCAACTCATCGAAGACCTTCTCAGTGCTGAGCAACAAGCTCTTGCGCCGATACACTTCTCCGGATATTAAAAAAACCGACAAAGACTTGGAGGAAGGTCCAGTCATGACTCCAGGGCGCATACCGCGGTCTGAAACGTTTCCCCAGACCGCAAAACATCCCCAGGTTGGCAGCAAGTCCAGCATCGACAGTATCAGCTCCGTTAAGTGCGAGTTTGATTTGAATTTTAAAATGCTGAACAATTAAAATGCCAACAGCGCCGTGCGTAAAAGTGTTCCTCACGGATCCACCAACTGTTTGATGCGTTAAAGTAACAAAACACTTTGGTTTAATCAACTGAACTGTATTATCTGTTAAAATTAATCACCTTTGTATAATCTATGATGTGTTGCCTTAGGTTAAAAAACTCTTCAACTGGATTTGAACTACAATACAGTACAGTTTGTCAGGGCGCATTACTGCAGCCCCACGCCACGGCTGAAAGGTAATGGAACTTCTTGTGTCAGTGTAAATGCTTGACTCTACTTTAAGCCACTCCTTTTGGTGGGAGGTTACGTCAAAGGTGCAGGGGCAAAGCGGTTATTAGACCAATCGAACCGATTCAATGTACCGTGTCGCAATGTTTGGTGTACCTTTGGGTCATGTGTAAGTTTTTGTCCAAAAATAAAAGTAGTTTGGCGTAAACATGGTACTTTGTGTATTTATTGCCAACCAAGGATTTTAAGTCAAAGCAGTTTTTCCCTCACTTTCCCTTCCATCCACTGTTAGCTGCAGAATTGTTGAGAGTGGGAGGGAAGGGAGTGATGACGGCGTTTTCCCTCCAGACATACATCATTTCATTCTATCCTACAGCTGCGACCAGAGATGAAGAATACAACACTGCGAATGCGAGTATCACAACAGACACGGAGTTTCTCTCTTTTTTATTTGATTGATTATTGAAGTTATTAATCTGAAGGAGTCCTGTCGTTCAGCTGTCAAAGAATAATATTTTTTTTTAAAAAAGAGTTCGGTCCAGATTCTCTGAACTCCTCACTGCCAGCTGTTTCTCTAGCCTCAACCGGATCTTACGTCCAATCTGGAGACATTCTGCAGCAATCACAACGACCGAAGCGTGGAGAATACCCTCATCTCTTTCTCTCTCTCTCTCTCTCGCTCTCTCCCTCTCTCTCTCTCTCTCCCTCTCTCTCTCTCTCTCTATACTCTCCTTGTCGCCTATTTTTTTCTTCATCTCCTTCTCTCTTCCGTGGGTTCAGCGCAGGCTGCCCAGTCACTCAGCACCCCTTCTTTTATCAGCTTTTGGGGACGCCGCCAGCAGAAATGGGACGACTGGGATTCAGCACCACGGACAGCGCTCGACTTCTGCTGACTGGTAAATGATGTGTAGACGTGTGTGTTTATGTGAAAGTGTCAGTGCGAGAGTGTGTGTGTGTGTCGTGACTGCTCACTGCAGTGGGTGTGTGTGTGTGTGGTTGTGGGTACCAGTGTGTGTGTGTGTGTGTGTGTACGCGAGTGTGTGTGTGAGCGTATTCGTGTATTAGTATTTCTAGTTTCCTCCGTAGATCGATATAAAAGTGCCTCAAACACCATCCGGGTTCAGACCACAGTTTGGTTGTTTTTTTGTTTTTTTTTGCGCACTCCTTTGTGTGTCTTACTGCAGATCTCAGCCTTTTAACCTGATTCTGACTTTGCCTGAGGAAACACAGGTGATCTGTAACACTCATCTGAAGATGTTGCAGAAATTCAGCTTAACTCACTGACACCGTTTTCTGCTGGCTCTGCATTTTTTTGATGTGTACAACTTCTCACGCCAGCCTCCTCCTTATGGTCAGCAGGTGTGCTGGCGCTGTCCGTGGTGCTGGCCGAGCAGGAAGGGGAGAACCTGTCCGGTCTTTCTGACAACCCGGACAAAGGAATCTTCGCTGTGCGGGAAAACGGCACCACATGCCTGTTGGTGGAGTTCGCTGTGAAATTCCTTGTGCCGTATGACGTCCTCGCTCTCAACGGGATAGACGTAAGGAATTCCATGATGATTTGATCAGAGTCGATTCCACACCTAATGTGCGTAAACATGAGGCATTTTTATTTTGTTTTATTTATTCGCACTGAAGTACTATTAGTGACAAAATATTCAGACGACAAAGAAACTATAGGATTTTAGAAACCGTGTTGGACAGTTATGCGTAAAATTCTGATGTCGCAACATCAAAAGTAGAAAAACTCAAACACAATGTATTTCTATATCGCTCTTTAAATCATTGAGATTATTTTAAACAAAAATATTTACGTTGTTTCATGAGTTCCTCCATAAAGGGACAAGCCAAATGCTGAAATCTCCCTCCAGAGACATCTTAGTCCATCATCTGTTTCTGTGTGTCGGTGCATTCCCACGTGTTTATTCTGTCTGTGTGCAGCTGATCACCGAGCAGGCTTCCTTCAATCTGCCCCGTGGGGCAGAAATCGAGGGTAAATGCGACAGTACCGAGTCAGAAATCCACATAAGCTGGAAAAACAACGCCTACACTCTCCGCATCTATTTCTCAAAGGTATGTGGGGGAAAAACATTTATATTATTATCATTTAAAAAACAAAACGGTTTTGGTTTAAATGATCCCACTGACTAACTTAATGACGCGTGCTGTGGTAGACTAATATTAGATGTATGTATTCAATAAATAGTTTAAAATGATTGTACTGGCACTGTGTGACTCAGCAGGAGCAGAGGAGCTGTGATGCATTTATTTCAAAAGTGAATTTCAGTGAATGGAGACTATCTCTTCTCCACCGCCTGGCCTGTTTATGCTGAGTATGGGCCAACCTGCTCTCTCTCTCTCTGTGTCTGTGTGTGTGTCTGTGTGTGTCTGTGTGTGTGTCTGTGTGTGTGTATTTGCAGGAATTCCGTGACAAGGGCACTGAGGTGTGGAAGATTAGCAGGGTCCAATTCGTTTACGACACCTCGGAGACGTCGCATTTCATCAACGCATACAACCGTGAGTTTCCCACCGAGTGTACAGTAGCGACTCAGCACATTTCCC